AGACTACATGCTTTTCAAACCTGCTGGCAGGGTTTAGAGGGTTAATCCTGTCAGTGACCCTGGACTACCTCCAGCACGAGGTTCCCTCTATATTTAATATACATAAGTTGTCAGGACACAGGTTTCTTAAGGTGTTACAATGTGTTGACAATGCATCACATGTTTGCCTGGCAATATATCACCATTAAGGGGTAGTTGTCCCCTTTATTTAATAACATGATGAGAAAATCCTTCCTTCTTAGAATGCTTTGTCTTTTTAAAAACATTCACACACAACTGTGTTATAAAGTGTTGTCTCTCACCTCAGCAAGCTGCAACTTAGATCAGCAGGACAGTACACTGTGTGATACATTTACTGGTAAACACATGAGCACCTGATCTGTGGCTTCTATTGTTTGAATGTGTGTTAGCTTTCAGTTACAGTACATTGTGTTTTGTGCTACTCAAGTTTCGCTGTGCATTGACTGGCATCTCTGCAGGCACACACACACACACACACACACACACACACACACACACACACAGCATCTCTCAGTACCTTATGTACATATGTGTGTCTGCCAGTCTGTCTAAATCCATCCATCCATCAATCCATCTGTCCATGAACCTGCTAAATTAGAAGCTGTTGAAAGGTTATTGCTTGGACGTCCAAAGTGTCAGCACCACTCACAACTTACCAGCTTGTCACTTATGGTATATTCATGGAGCGCTATTGTGTGCTGCTGGTGTACCAAGAATATATATGAGCCCTGGTCAGATTGTGGTACGGTGTGGAAGTATTGCACAATGCTACATTTGTGTAGATCAGTACACACTTTGAGTTTGTAATACACTTATTGTATATTTTGCATTTATATTTTTTTTATTGTTTATTTATCTGTATTTATGGTGGTGACTTTTTCAGCTGTAATAACCAAATTTCCCCTTGGGGATTGATTAGTGCTATTGTGTAGATCCGTATACACTTTGAATTAATTGCAATTAATGTCTGTTTTAAATCACAATTACTGACAATTATCCTGAGTACATACTTGAATTCTATATAAATATGTTTGCTTTTGCATGTATGGAAGTATTGAACATGGAATGTGAAATATATTCAGTCTTTTTCTTTCAAATTTTGAACTTTTATGACTTCGGTGACCTCCGGTGTCCCTACAGTTGTAAAGAGGAATCCTCCCACCTTTGGATAATTTGCATGAAATTGCACCATAAAAACTTGATGCTATGTAAAGGTTTCAAAGCCACAAGGCCACACTGTTACCTAAAAATACAAACAGAAATAATTTATTCTTAAGCTAAATTTTCTTAAACTAGAGCATTTTACAAGGATAGATTATTTCCGTCTTCAGTTAGATATCTATGCAGGCTTTGTTTAAACTGTAGAAGAGAAATTAAGAATATGCTACAGGGCTCCAGATGAGTAGTTCCACAACCAATGGAAAGTTGAAGCACTGATGACTCTTTATGTTTTTAAAGTTTCTGTAGGATAAATGTAGCCATTTTGGCAATTTTGTGAAAGACGACATGCTTTTTATGTCTGCTGGCGTGTTTGGGGGTTTACAGGGTTAAATAAAATCAACTTTCAGTCATGGGACCTAACATCCATACAATAAAAACAAATGTTCAAGAAAGTCTTATTCAAGAAAGTTACCTTTGAGCTGTCATTGTGTGTGTTGTGGAGGTTTGCATCTGATGCTATTTAGGTGAAACTATCACACATTAAATCGAAAGTTTCCTCACTTTCTTGATGAATTGTTTGTCACTGATACATTCACACGCGACTAGCTTCGTCCACTAGTAGCATTGGTGTTCAATACTGACAATTTTGGGAGCATCGTCACAAAATTTAGGGGTACCACTTAGACTAACATGCATATTTTCTCCATCCTAACTGTATTACTGATAAATGTCTTGGTAACAAATGGCCAGTTTATGCCAGTAAATGCCATTTCAAAAACAACAATTTGCTGTTGTCTTTTAAAGGACAAAGTCACAAAGTAAAGTCATGCTTTAAGAGAAAAAAAAATCATTAATTTAAAGGTGCCTCAGTTCCATCAGTTGCTCGTGTAGTTCTTGTCTAACGCTGTTGTTGTACTTTGCAGGTATTTCGATTCTAGCTCTGGCGTGATGATTCATATGTTCGACGATGATTTTAAAAAATAAAAAACCCAGATGTTGCTGCTTGTGAGAAAATGCAGTAGCTCTGTCTTCAAAATAGTCACAAAGTTTGACTAAATGCTCACAGTCTGGGGCCCTGCTGATATATATTGTGTTTATTTTAGAAGTGTGTGAGATATTTAATATCAGAGGAAAAGGAAAAAACAAATGAAAGAAGATATTTTCTCGTGAAAGACCTGAGATGTGTGTGTTACTGTGAGATATGAAAATTAATCTGTTCCCCAGATGTCCCAGGCAGTTTTCACTGAGTCTGTCCAGAGGTGATAAATCTCGTGGCAGAGCCCATGTTTCCGTTTCCATTGGAGCTGTTTGGGTCAACATGTGGTCCTGTCTATTTTTAAAATGGACCCTTCCCTGCTGGGGTGCCAGAAGAAGAGTACTATCACTCTCCGCATTCTCACTTGCTCAGGAACTACCTGTACATGTTTATGTCGAATGAATGAATGATGGATGATGTGTTCTCTACTGCGCTAACGAGTTAATGGGGTTGGGTTACTTATTGATTGGCAGCTCTATGGGGAGTACCAAGAACACCAGGGAGGCTCCGGCAGACGGGAGGCCACACGCCTGCTGACAGAGAGACAGATCAAGAAACATGGCAATCATCCCCGCAGCCATGGCAGGACGCGGCATGGACATGGGCGTCGTAGCCATGGCCAGAATGGATGCCACAGTCGCCACATGCACCAGCATGGCTACCATAGTAGGCAAAGGAGCAGACTGCAGTCCAACATGGAGGCTGAGGCCACCGATGAGCAAATGGCCGAACCCGACCTCACGTCCTCTATGAAGAAGAAACGCTCCTACTCCAAGTGCAGAGGTGAGAACGACGAGCAAGGACATAGAAGGATGCTGTGTTTGTTCTTTTTTGTGAAGTTCTGTGCTGTTTGATTCTGACAGACTGCATAGCACGGGTGCAGAGATTCCTTGTGACCAGGCTGGGAGAGGACTGGATCTTTCTGGTTCTGCTGGGCATCACAATGGCACTGGTTAGCTGGACAATGGACTATGCCAGCGCAAAGAGCCTGCAAGGTATGACAACAGAGTCCATTACATTTTTAAGGCAAGAGCCGGTAAAATAAAGCTGACCACTAAGGTCAAATTTTCCAGCCAGCAATAGCCGGTGTATTCGCAGAGGTGTCTGGCACTATTTAAAAAGTCCAATGGCATCAGATCAGTGCCACCGATATATTTGCAACAATATCAATATTACTCACCACACAATCCACAAATTCTTTTCTCATGTAGAACAGCACCCAGCTCTGTCTCATCTACAAGCAGCCCCATTCATATGCACACTCTGACTCAAAACATGTACAGAGTTAGCCAGTGGTTAATATCATATAACACCTCAAATCTGTCCAAAACTGATACATTCAGGTTTATCTGTGTTCTTAACCAAATGCTCTCAGTCATCGAAACTATTATTTCAAAATCTTTTTCCAGATCTGTGTCTGCTGTCTGGTAGGAAGTGTCTTTGTTGTAGCCTGGCTCATAGCTGGGTTATTCTATCTGAAATCATCAGGCACCTTCTGCTCAACCATTTCTAATTTACTTGATTGATTGCTTGATTGATTGATTGATTGATTGATTGATTGATTGATTGATTGATTGAACTATGGATATTTAAAATGGCATTTATGAAAGTTTAGATTAATAAATATCAAATACTCTCTGAGATAAGGTTATTTTTAAAAAATTCCTGTCAACCCACTTCTAGCAAGGTTTTTTTTTCACACATTAAAATTTAAGGCTCTGTTTGGATGACAATATCTCAGAAACTTTTTTTTTTTTTAAATAAAACATTTATTTTGTTTAGTGTTATTGGAAATTTCAATGTTTTTTTCATAATCAGAGACGGTGTGATTTACTTGTGCAATATTGCAGATTAAAATGAGGGCATCATGAGAGATAACTGAAAATTTCTGGCTTTTATCGTGAAATATTTGGTCACAAAAATGAAAAAAGTTATTTTCATTGAACTTTCATATCTGATTTAGCAGGTATAATAAGGTGTACCACAAAAACATTGCTGGATAGCCTAATGCAAGTAGAACCAAGTACTGGGGTCTAAAACATATTATTTTAATGTGCCACAAAGCAGGCCTAAAATAGGGTGACTGGTAATATCAAAACCTGTCTTGGAAAGTGTTTGACATATTAGGCTAAAATCCACAAATGTCTTTAGAAATATCCATGTTTTATGCTGTAAAGATTTCAGGCAAGTCAGAGACGGTTGTGCTGAAATTGTTCTAAAAATGTGATATTTTGACCCAGCTGCTAACTACCAGACCAACTGCACGAATGAGGAGAGGCAAAGAGACACTGCAACAATGCACCAACTGGGCCTCTATCTCTCTCCTACTGCTGCAAAAACCGTAAACAACATTTGTGCCTGTCTACAAACTTTATGGCTGATGACAGTAACTTCATCAACTCTGTTGGCATCTACTTCACAGTGACAGCAGCTATGTGCTGCTAGCTTAGTCCTCACACACACATACAACTCTAACTGCAGTTCCAATTAGCGTAGAATAGGGCTGCACAATATTGAAGAAAACTGACACAAGTCAGCTAAGAAGGACATTCCACATGTCCCTCTCCCCAGCAAGGCTTTCCAGCTCCTCCTGGGGAGTCCCGAGGCTTTCCCAGGCCAGATGCGATATGTAATCTCTCTAGCCGCTTCTGTGTCAACCATGGGGTCTCCTCTTAGTTGATCATAGGCAGAAACATTGCACCTCAGTTGGCTCATTTTGATACAAAGTAGCAGCGACTCTCTGGATGTCCAGGCTCCTCAATCTATCTCTAAGGCTGAAAATAAAATGACAAACAACTGGCAATGACCAGTCACTAATAGTATAGTCTTCCAATCACCCACCCTCATTGGCAGAAATGAAAAAAACATCAAATGTCTGCACAGGAAAACCATTCTCTCCTTTAGTTGTTTTTGTATTGTCTTTCATGCTTGTTTTTCCTTCTTCTATAGTTGTTTTCCTCTTTTCTCCTTATATCCCATTACCTACTTCCCCTTCCTCCCTCTCTCACTCCTTCTCTTATTGGTTGGATCTTTTGGTTCTTTTATCATTTTCCTTTATTTCTGCCTATTTTCCCTTTATGTCACTTCTGGTGCTTTCCTCCCTCTACTTCATCCTTCTTCAGCCTATAAATGGATTCATGGAGAGCTGAGGGGGAACATCCCCCTGCAGTACCTGGCCTGGGTTTCCTATCCCCTGATGTTTATCCTGTTCTCCTCCCTCTTCTGTCACCTGGTTGCTCCTCAAGCTATTGGTCAGTACCCCCTTCTTCCTAATGCAAACGTTTCTTCTGTTCTCATCAAAATTTTGTCTGGTAGAATATTTTACAAATGTTAGTTAAAGGTGAAATCCAATGTATATTGGATTTAAATGTACATTTACAATTTAGCCTGGGTCAGTCATCCAAATATGGTTCATGGAATTTTGGAAAAGTATGGAAATTAGGGAGAAATATTAAAGTCAAGGACTTCAATGTGTTAGTTTATTTGATTTCTTTATCTTTTATTTAACTATTGAGGTACCAGATCTCCTCTTCCAGGGAGCCCTTGTGAAGATGGCAGCCCAAGCAACTTCACCTAAAAATAATGCTATAACATATACAATCCAACAAAACAACACAAGAGAAATAGCAAACGAAGAAAGCCGGGATGAAAACTTTTTACAATTTTTTTTAACCAATATTGAGTTAGGATGACAAACAGCAATGAATTATGATGAATTATTGATATGCTGATAAAGCCTGTTGAACCATTGACACTTGATGTTTGCTGTAAAACTCCTCTCAGTTACATTAGAAATTTTAAGAAGTCACTCAAACTGAGCAGCTGCTTTCCAGTCCACTAAGTTTATTTACATTTTAAAGCTGCTTCTGGTAAATCTAAAATGCCTCAGCCATCAGCAAAGCTCACAAAGTGTTCTGCTGTTGGCTGTAAGAGTGAACACAAGTCTTCATCCACTCCCAGCATCTAAGGACCTGAAGACTCAGTGAATTACTTTTATTTTTGATAGCCATGTCACCACAATGATAGGAAAATCCTTATGGTTAGCGTGTTGTACGGCTAATGTTACCATTTAATTTTAAATCAATAAAAAATGACAATGTGGTCTATTGTGTTGTGTACGTCAGCTGTTGTTTCCATCTGTGCTTCTCTTGTGCCCTCTGTGCTCACATATACAGCATTTTAACACAGTCAGATTCCCAATAAAGCTGCTCTCATTTATGTATTTTTCTTATTCTGTTGTACCAACACTGAACAAGCAGGAATTAGAGACTCTAATGCAGCTCATTAAGAGTACATCAGTCGCTTCAGAGCCATTTCTGAGCTGCTTCTCTGCATCGCTAATGTACTGATTTTATACCTACCACATTGTCTGACAAAGTCCTTATACACGCCAGTTGAAAACAGCTGCTGTGCTGCAAATTCAGCAATTCTGGGGACATGTGGGATTTTCATTAATTTGCTGAAAATGGGCATAATATGAGACCTTTAACTTCCCCAGAGGAAAAGCGTTCAGGTCGCTGCAGCGATATCTACAGCCTAATTCACCTTAAACCAGGGATTATGTAAAGCTGGTTCAGTTTCTCTGTGTTGCAGAGGTGCTGAGTGTTTGGATGATGTCAGTCCAACTGTAAACCAACCAATGAACAAAAGAAATATTGATTTCTTCTCCTCAGCAAGCCTATAACTATGAAGCTATGCAAATTAGTTACATTTCTGCACAAATTAAGTCTAAATAAACTCTGCTATCTCCTGCCCCAGGTTCTGGTATCCCAGAGCTGAAGACCATCCTGAGAGGTGTGGTGCTGAAGGAATATTTGACTCTTAAGGCCTTTGTTGCTAAAGTCATCGGTCTGACTGCAGCCCTCGGTAGCGGCATGCCTGTAGGCAAAGAGGTGGGTGAACCCAGATCAAGCTGCTCCATGCAGGTTTCAATACACATCAAACAACCTTTTTTCTCCCTGTTCTTTATTAGTTCAGACTTACCATTAAAACAGAATCTGTGGTGTGTGTTTGACTTTATTTAATTTGACTTCACTCAGGGCCCGTTTGTTCACATTGCCAGTATCTGTGCAGCAGTTCTCAGCAGGTTCATGTCCTTCTTTTCAGGAGCTTATCAGGTAAGCTGATGTCAGGAAACACTTGAATTTTGTTGCAATTTTTAAGTGTGATCTAACAGGTATACTGCATGAGATATTCCTCATCTATATGTTGTTTCTTCTATTGTTTCAATGCTGCCTCCTCCGCCTCCTCCTCCTCCTCCTCCTCCCTGGATCAGTAGAATCCATACTGTTATACAGACATCCTGACAGTGGGCTGTGCTGTTGGGGTGGGCTGCTGCTTTGGTACTCCACTTGGAGGTAAACAGCCTTTACCATTTCCTGCTCTACTCTCTGACTCTCTTTTTGACTCATCTCGTCTTGGAATGCATGTAGTCATGTCTTTGCATTAGATATTTTCATACTTCACCAGCCCAAATGAGTCATTCTGTGTTTTTAAGTTGCATTCAGAAAACTAAAATTGTGAATTCTATTCAAAGGCTCAAAATAGCTTGGAATATTTATGCAGATGCACAGTTTAACCCCCTGACCCTCGAAACCTGCCGACAGGTTTTGAAAAACATGTTATCTATTCAAAAACCTGCCAAAATGACACAGAATGACAAAAGAATGACAAAGAATCATCAGATTTTCATCTAATAAACTAACCAATCATTTGTCAGGCTGTTCTGTCAGGGGGAAATGACCAAATCCAAACTTAAAATCGTGATGTTTTATCAAAATAACTCTAGACTATGTCTTTAATTTTAAAAAACTGCAAAAAAAATAAACCATTTGCAGTAACCCATCCATCCATTATCTATAAACCGCTTAATCCTCATTAGGGTGGCGGGGGGGCTGGAGCCTATCCCAGCTGACTTAGGGTGAAGGCAGGGGACACCCTGGACAGGTCGCCAGTCTATCACAGGGCCACACTTAGAGACAGACAACCAAGCACACTCACATTCACACCTACGGACAATTTAGAATCACCGATTAACCTCAACATGTTTTTGGACTGTGTGGGAGGAAGCTGGAGAACCCGGAGAGAACCCACGCTGCACGGGGAGAACATGCAAACTCCACACAGAAAGATTCCGGTGCCCCCACCGGGACGCAAATCGGCAACCTTCTTGCTGCGAGGCAACAGTGCCACCTTGCAGCCCCCATTTGCAGTAACCAGATTCCGAAAAAAAAAAATCAAAAAAAAAAATCTGCGCTTCTAAGCACGGCTGCATTTTTGCACTGCAACATTATTTTTCACAGAGCAGATAGGGGACAGTTCTGGAAACAAATTAAAAATGTACATAAGTATCTATATTATGTAACATCTGCGTACACTTAGAAAATATTGGGCATGTTGATTTCATGATTTTTAAGTTTTGAGGGAAAAATTAAAAAAATGTAACTTTGCATGAGTGATGGTACTACAACTGTGTCATGCTGCACAGAAGATATTCTTGAGTTTTCCTTGCTTGTAGCTATGGCAGTGATTTTTTTTCACAACACTCAGAAACTGCCCGGGGTTCAGAGGGTTCAAGAACTATTTTTTCAGCTAGGCATCAGGTGATTTGTATGTAGCTTTTTAAAAGATTATAGTTAGTACATACTTTGGACTCCCTGTCTTATTACTGGTTCTTTGTCCTTTTTTTTCTTTCCCCACCAGGTGTGCTCTTCAGTATAGAGGTAACATCCACATACTTTGCTGTGAGAAACTACTGGAGAGGATACTTTGCTGCTACATTTAGTGCCTTCATATTTCGAGTGCTGTCCGTGTTTAACAAAGATGCAGGTACGGACGGGAGAGAAGGTGTTTAATTTGTTTGTTGTATGATTATAGTGCTTTTTAAAATGTGAGCTAGAGGGCACCATTGCTCCAATATCCATCACCAGGCAAAGCGTCAAATCTTGTGTGCTATAGTGACATCATGTACCTTCCACTAGATGGTGGCCTTCTCTGCCATGTAGCAGCAGAGTGTTTTAGTGTCTGTCTCAGGTCACTGAAGCATCTTGTAAGAAACAAATCTTGGACCAATCGAATAAATATTACTTCAAACGTTACTGTATTTACACCTATCTAAATTCTGCATAACAATAGAGTTGAACTATTCTGCAAAAGCACAGAGGTGATGTTCTACTAAGTGCAGCTGCACCGATTTAGTCATTTTTTAAGACAAAAAGTCTAAATTCTCTCAGTGCAATTTCTTAAATGTGAGTATTTTCTGGTTTTCTTCCTCTATCACAATAAACGGAATATATTTGGGCTGTGGACAAAACAGCACATTTTCCATCTTAAACTTTGAGAAACTGCAACATTTTCACATTTTTCTGACATTTTATAGACCAAACAACAAATCAATTAATCCAGAAAATAACCAACAGATGAATTGACAATGAAAGTAATCACTAGTTGCAGCTCCACTACCAATTATGCAAACAATTCTATTTTTTGTTTCCAAACTTAAAAACTTAAAGCAGCTGCTGCCATAAATGTAAGGCGAATCCCCTGTTTGTTATAAGGTTAATTATTACTATCAACATGCTAAAAGGGTCGCTAGCACTCATTCTCACAGCATTCACATCTATTTGACGATAAACTGATGGTGTACATTTCACGACTTGGTCTTTTCTTTGTTCTCTAGTAACCATCACTGCTCTGTTCAGGACAAACTTTCGTATGGATTTCCCTTTTGACCTCCAAGAGCTCCCAGCATTCGCTATCATTGGGTGAGCAACTCGAAAACTCTCATATGACAGCATTGTTGTTCCTGTGTGCTTGTTTGCACTGTGTGTGTCCAAACCTCCTAATAAGGTTAATCTGGTATGTGAGACAATCAGAAATGGAGCGTTGAAGATACAAAGAATCCTACTTATTAGTTAATTTTTTACCTAAAGGATGGAAAGAGAGATACCTACAAGTGACACCTTATTTTTGTCAACACCAACCTTTGGCTCATATGTCAAAACTCTCACTGTTGTCTTTGTGGCCATTTTGTGTCTTTTGTGGTTGTTTTGCGTCCGTTTGTGGTCATTTTGTATCTTTTTGGTATAATTTTGTGCATCTGTGTGGTCAATTTGTGTCTTTGTGGTCCTTTTGTAGTCATTTTGCGTCTTTTGTGGTTGTTTTGTGTTTGTGGTTATTTTGTATCTTTTTGGTGTAATTTTGTGCATGTTTGTGGTCAATTTGTGTCTTTGTAGTTGTTTTATGTCTGTTTGTGGCCAATTTGTACATCTCTTTGGCCATTGTGTGTCTCTTTGTGATCATTTTGTGCCTCTTTACTGAAATGTTTCGTCTTTCTGACCATTGTTGTCTTTTTGTGGTCATTTTGTGTCTTTTGTGGTCGTTTTCTGTGTATATGTGGTCAAAGATGAGAGAAGAACTGCAAATAAGTCTGTGGATCATAATTTTATTGTCCTTGTTTCCTCTCCCATTTATGATGTAGAGAGCCCTCAGATTTATCTGCTGTCTTTGTGTACAAAGCAGGATATTAAGTCATTCTAACTAGATCCACCTGCAGCAGCTACTAAAGTAATGCGCTGCTGATAAATTGATCCTCCACTACCAGTAAAATAAAATGCCTAAACATAGAGGATCTGAAAACTTGAGGTGTGAGGAGTTTTCTTATCCAACAGGTAGAAATGTGTGTAACTACATTCTTTACTTATACTTACAAGTTGCATTATAATGAGGCAAGTTAATGTATTTTTGTAAAATATTTTTAAAGGCTTTTACTAATAATTTAGGTATTGTATTCGCTGCAGTTATTTCTCCCTCATCTATACTTTTTTTTTTTTTTTTTTTGGGCAGTGTTAATCTTACCCGGTCGCTCATTTTGTTGCTTGATTAAAAGCGCATTCAGAAGGTGTTGCAGATTACTTTAATTTAGCTAATGTGAGGTTTGTTTGTTTGTGCAGGATCTCCTGTGGGTTTCTAGGGGCGTTCTTCGTCTATCTCAACAGACAGGTGGTGCTTTTCATGAGACGACCCAATGCCATGACCCGCTTCTTGACCAAACAGTGAGTGTGCTCCTTGATATTAATTGGTATTCTGTGTATATGTGTAGTAATTATATAAATTGACATTAGATAAAAAAATTTACATTTTTTGTACTCGAATATCTTGTGTGCCAAAGTGTTAATGTTTTTTTCTGTTTGATTTTCTATTTTACAGCATCTTTCATGTCTGTATTCAGCGCTATCCTAAATCCTCTACTGTTAATAAGAGCTTATAGATTTATTTAGCGTCCTTATAGGAGTTTGTACAACTTTTCATGAAGTGTTTATCCTTGCTCTTTGTGCATTCAGTGTTTGGTTGATTACTTAAATACAAAGATATAATTAGGATTTTGGCAATTACTGCTGTTTATTTCAATAACAAAGCGTTGCTGACTTTTGTTTCCTCTCCCAGCCGGCTGATCTTTCCTGCTGTGGTAACGCTTGTCATCGCCACCTTGACCTTCCCACCTGGCTTCGGACAGTTCATGGCAGGAGAGGTCAGACTTCATATCTTCTCAACTAAGCGTATCTCAAGAGAAAACAAAGGAGAATACAGTGCATGTAAATGTATTAGTGTGTGCATGCAATGCTTCTAAACACCACTTGGAAATATGTTTATTTGAGGCTCATATGCAGGACTTTTTTGTTTGAATAATCGTCTGTTGCATTCAAGCCAAATGAGTTCACATAATCCTGATTAAACCTATCAGCAGCAGTCGTCCTCAAATTTATTCATACCCTTTCATTAAAGTAAAGGCAAACTTCACAATAGTCACTCAAATAAGTAGAAACTGAAAAAAGTAATAATAAATAAAAATGTACTAAAGAAGGAGGAATACAGTCTGAAAAAGAATGACGTGTCAACAGCATTTGTTGACTGTATTTGTGTAATTACACTCACTGTCAGATGAGGGAGACAGTTTTAGTGTCAAATACCTTTTGCACAGATGAAAAACTCAAGCTGAACTGAGCTCCAGGAAACGCTGCCATCAACAGTCCTTTAGATGTTTTTCTTTGTGGTGTCCTTTCCTGTGAAGCATCATCACACACCAGCAGACTTGATTCAATTTCAATTCAATTCAATTTTATTTATATAGCGCATATTTACAACAACAAGTCATCTCATAGCGCTTAACAAAAGCAGAACCACCCAACAATCAAAAACCTCCGACAGAACCAGGCTCAGGGAGGGACGGCCACCTGCCTCGACCGGTTGGGTGGATGTGGGATGAATTATACAATTTAGTGTACAAGTTGTATTGTATTTAGTGATAAATGTGAGATTGCTGCTGTGTCCCCTTTACTGATGTTACATCAGAGGATTTTTGGGGGTATTGAAGTTCCAAATTTTCCAAACTGTGACCTCTCAGTACCACAGGGAGCTGCAAACACGAACGCCAATAAGTTGTGCACTTACGAGGAAGTGTGACAGAAATGTTTTGCTTATATATAGAATATTCTCAAACACCAGCACCTCATGAATCTGAGGCCTTACTGTGATGTCAGTGTCCATGTTTCTGCATGAATGGAACCAACATGCCTTGTAGCTGTCTCTGTTATGTCTACAAAGGGAGTTTCAAGGTGAAAGCTCAGATAGCCACATATCAACAGCTCATCCACCCAGAGCTAAAAGCTAATCATGTGTTTCACAGACGCTCAGAATAGACCACTTAGTGTGAACCAGGTGTGTGTGTGTTATAGCTGCATGTCTGCGTGCATATGTCAGTCAGTAACACCTTAGCATGCTTCACACCCTCGATGTGGAAACGTCTTGCGCCCTTTTAACAAACACGCAGCACGTTTTTTTTTTTTTTTTTTTTTAACAAAACAGTAGAGTGAGATGAAATTGCTTCACTTTAGGAAGTCAGGAAACCACAGTGCAGAAGGATTCTCTGTGTTTGACAGATGTCCCCCTCCCCCCTTCCCCCAAAGAGTTTATATATAGCTTTTGGGGAATGAAATCCTTCCAATCCAACCTGATAGCACAGCGCAGAGTGACAGAAGAAGCAGCAAAACGAGAGGAGCTTAAATGCTACAAGGGTTGTGAACCAGACGTGAACCTGCAACTTCAAAAAGGGACAGGAAAGCTTATTACACCCAGCTCCACCGAAGCCCACAGCAAAACCTTTTCACAGAGCGGATCCACTCGCATGCCGAGCGGTGGATTTCAGGGGCCTCAATTCAACCCAAGCAGGGAGGTACAAAAGTAGGAAAAAATCAAAATGACGTTAGTGTTGTTTTTCCCCCAGCGGCGGCGCTATGCAGATGCAGGAGGCGCTGCCGTTTGTGCCTGCGAGCGGTTGCAGAGGCATCTATGCAAATGTGGAGCAAAAAAAAAAAAAATGGTTGAAGTGAATTAGTCATTCATGAGTCATCAAAAGAGAATGAGTCATTGGACATGGCCACCCGTACCCGTCGGCTTCCAGCTTTCTGGATGACTTCCTGCCTGTTTATCCCACTTGACTTTCTTCCTCTCTTCACTTTTTTTGGGGGTCTCTTTCCTTTTCCCTTTCTTTCTTTCCTCTTGTTCTCCATTAAACTCCACCCTGCCTCTTCTCCTTCTTGCTCTCCTGCTTTTCATGCTTCTCTCTTTGACTTCCTAATTTCCTCCCACATCCCTCAACATTTTTACCTTTTTACCTCCTCTTGCCGTCCTCATCCTTCTTTCACTTCTCTGTCTCCCCTCTGACGTGTCCTGCACCCTCCACACACCCTCATCTTTCTCCTCTTCCCATCCTCATCTTTTACGCCCCTCTTTACCGCCACTCTTTTCTTGCACTTGAACTCCTCTTCTCCCTTTCCTTCTCTTCCACCATCCCATTTTCCCCACTCTGTCTTAGATTTCATCCACTCCACCTTCCCCTTGTCTTCTTCTCTCCCCTCCTTCTGCTTCTCCTTCCCTTCCTGCCTCACCCCCTCTCCTCCCTCTCTCCAGCTGATGCCCAGAGAGTGCATCAACTCCCTGTTTGACAACTTCACGTGGACGAAGATTTCGGGATCTTCTCCTCCTCCAGTCGGTCTGGGCCGCTCCACCGCCTGGCTGCACCCCGATGTCAGCGTCTTCGTCATCCTGCTGCTCTTCTTACTCATGAAGGTCTGTGGCTGCTGGAAGATGTGTGTGTGTGTGTAGGTGTGTGTGTGTGTGTGTGTGTGGGAGTGACTCCGCCTGACGTCAGCATTTTCGTCACCATCCTCTTCATCGGGGGACATTTGTTGCAGGTCATTCATGTTGTGTGTCGGTGACGGGGACATCTGTGTGTTTGTGAGTGTGTGTGTGTGTGTGTGTGTGTGTTTGTCTGCTTCCTTTTCTTCCTGTCCAAGGTCAACAGTGTTGGCAAGCTGCCAGCAGTTCTAGCTTTCTTATGTTTTTTTTTTTTTTTTTAAAGCAGCTCCAAACACACAAACCCCGGAGATTCATGATTCTCACTGTCTTCTCAGTTGTTCACTTTAATATTTTATGAGCAGAGACGTGTGTATAAATCTGGACTAGGTGCCAGGTTGACTGTGAATCAGCAAAAAGTTGACGAAATGCTCTGTAAAGAATCCCAGAGTGTACAAAGGTGGACAAGTGATCACTAACATACCATAAACAACCCAAATATCTTTAAAATACTTCACTATAACAAGGCAGAAACATGGACTAAGGTGAATAAGCAGAATATTATGAGGTGTATATGTGAGGTATTTGAAATCAGCATCTAACAGAGGGTCAAGAGACCAAGCGGCATGATTGTAAATTTACACTACTCACAGTAAGTTAGGGATATTATAATTTAGATGAGTGCTTTTCCTATTTGGTCTGAATTTTAATGAAATAAGTAAAAGTTCCCTTTGATATTACTAACAATGA